TTAAGCTCTGAGACAGGCCTGCGTTATTCTTTGGAGCTGATATTTACTTACTTGTACATCAACATATACATAAAGGTCACGCCCTTTTAGAACCATGAGTCCCTGAAGGGGCCACCGAAGGGGCCATTTTAGGAGATAGTGATATTCCTGCAAACACCTAAACTTTGGAGAATATAAATCAACATTCATGATTTCATTAAGCACATACAATTTATCAAGATTTTAGAAATATTTTTATAATTATAATACAGAACAATGCATTTAATAATTTTTCTACTCTTCATTAATCTTTCTTGCTTGGCTAGAATTTGAGAGATAAAGATGAGCTAGCATATATTGAAGACAGTTAACATTTGCATGTGTTTTGCCCTCGTATATGTGCATTTAATAGGTGAGGAAACTGATAATAGAGAAGTTAAGGAATAGCAATTAAAATGATAAATCTGAAATTCAAACCACATCTATTGGATTCTAAAGTCCTCTGATTTCTACTGAACCATTCTTCATCGACTATTCTGCTGTGATCTGAGAACTAACTCATTAATGCTTAAGAGAATTAGAATTGGGATTGGTGTCACATCACAGTGAATACAGTGAAAAAAAAAAAGAAACAAGAGAATCAACAGCATTAACATCAAGATGCTCAGGAGGTGGAAACAATCTAAGTATTGATTGATAGATGAATGGATACAGAAGTCAGATAGACAATAAAATAGTATTCAGCCATAAAAATAAGGAAATTCTGCCATTTTAAACAACATAAATGAACCATGAGGACATTATGCTAAGTAAAATAAGTCAGACAGAGAAAGACAAATACTATATAATCTCACTTATATGTCGGATCTGAACAAAACAAAACAAAAACAGAAAAACACAACTCAAAGAAAAAGAGATCAGATTTGTGGTTACCAGATGTGGGAGCTAAGGGGTGGGAGAATTGGAGGAAGGTGGTCAAAATGCATACAGTTCGAGATATAGGATAAATAAGTACTAGGAATGCAATGCATTACATAATGACTGTAGTTTACACTGCTATAAGATATATATAAGAAAATGGTTAGGAGAGTAGATACTGAGTTCTCATCACAAGGAGAAATTTTTTCTTTCATTTTATTGTATCTATATGAGATGATAGATGTTAACTACCCTGATTGTGGTAATCATTTCCCAATATATGTAAGTCAAACCATTATGCTATACACCTTAAATATATATATCAATAAAACTGTAAAATGTTCAGGAGGTTCCCAAGAATCAACTGCATCCCCATTCTGAATTATTTTTTTCTAATATCCAAATGATTATCAAGAAGCTCTTCTTTTTTTGTTATTTTGGTAATTTAAAATGTTGAGCTGGGTGAGAGAGGGCACACCCAGGCTCTGCAGGGTGCTTCTCACTACCGTGTGCTGGGCTCACCTTGTCAAAGTTCTGATAGATAAAATGATTATTGACACAAAGTAGAAGAGAAACAAGTATGCTGTATGTGTTTTGGGTATGTTATATCAATAGAATTTTATTTTTTTGTGAAGGAATTTGGACCTTATTCTATAGATAGAGAGAGCAATTGAAGGAATTTGGACCTTATTCTATAGATAGAGCCCTCTGAATATTTGAAGCGGGGGAGTGGCATTGTCATATATGTCATAATGAAAGACCACTCTGATACCGTTGTGAGAATGGATGGAATAGGGAGGAGTTAGGGAGGGATTAAAGCTGAATGCCGGGGTCAAGAAGACCAGTGGTATGCTTATTCTCCTGTTCTGTTTTCACTTATAATCCATTTTAAAAAAGAGGATAGATAACGAAGAGAAGCTACATATTTATCACGTTTTGGTGAATAATTTAAATTTCAATGTTATATTTAAAACTCCAAAATATTCACAAAGGAAAATAGACTCCTACCCAACAGTAATAGTCAAACTGATCTAAGATGTCTTTGAAGCAATAAAAATTAAATGAAGCATATCTAAAGTTTTGAGCCCAACTTCAGAAAAACCAAATACAAGTTTAAAAAAAAAGAATAATAAAAGAATCAATAATAAAAGGCTCAGAAAAGTCCACCTAAGATGGTGGTGTGGGATCATGATTATTGAATTAAAGGCTGTAAAATATATTGCTGGAAATGTAAAACACTGAATCAGTAAATTAGAAAAGAAGTTTGAGAAACTATACCCAAATTACTGAGAAAAGTATAAAAAGATAAAAATAATGAGGAGAATAATGAAGTGAAATACAGGAAATAAAATTAATCTAATAGGTATTCCAGAATGACATAACAAAGGAGAGAGAAGAAAGACAATATTTAAAGAAGTACTAGGGGAAGAATAAACATCTCTGAGCTACAGGAAGACGTGACTTTTTGAACTGAAGGAATTCCTAAACACAAAACAAATTCCTTTTTAAAGATTCACACAGACATATGTTTTTCATTTTGAGGATAGTGAAAATTTCTATTTAGTAACAAGCCTAGAAAATGATAAAAGCAAAACAAAACAAAATTGAAAACCTCTCTATAAACTACAACCAAACAAAAACTGTCTAGCCCAACTACAAAGGAAAAAAATAAACCAGGAAATCTCTGTTTCTAGGAAAATGGGGTAGATACACTTTTCCTTATTTTTCTCACTAGTATAACTAAAAACTCTAGGTATTATATGTGAAAGAGACATAAGATTCTGAAAGGTGGAGAGAAGAAGGTAGACCAGTTAGGCACTTCAGAACCCAAGGAAAATCATGGTGATTAGTTTCCTGATGTGTGTGTTGTTGTGTTTTTGTTTGTTTGTTTGTTTTTTTGCCTCATTATGTCCCAGACTTGGGGCTGAACATATGAGCAACATTAAAATGCCAAGAGGCACAGAAAAAAATACTTGAACAAAAGTCTGCTCTGATTATCCTAAGGACCAAAAAATAACCAGTATAGTAAGATTTTTAAACAATAACCCATCTACTCCAGCTAAACACTATAAAAACATATATATGTATATATATACATATATGAAAAAACAAAACAGTAACTGTGGCCCCATTCTGACCCACAACAGAAAAGTTTGAGTGAGAAACTTAGACTTCTACCCTCAGCAGCTATATAGATGCCCCAACACATCTGCTGCAACATATATATGTGTATATATATATATACATATATGAAAAAACAAAGCAGTAACTGTGGCCCCATTTTGACCCACAACAGAAAAGTTTGAGTGATAAACTGGGACTTCTACCCTCAGCAGCTGTATAGATGCCCCAATACATCTGCTGCGGTGGTATTAGAGAAGTCCTGGGAAGCCAGGACTTTCATCCCTGCCAAGCAAAAACAAAGCCCACTATCTTGATGACAGTGAAGACATTGTGTGAAGCCTGGACTTCCCCCCAATCCTGGCAGCAATGCAGTGACTCCCACCTCCTTTCTCTGCAAGGGCGATGTTAAAGGAAGCCAGCTAAAATAAAGGCTTAAATAAAATTCGGAGTCTTATATGCTACATACTCAAAACGTCCTGGTAACATCGTACCCAAACCAAAAAAATGAATAGATATAATAGACTTTACTTCTCTGGAGTTTTCAAAATGATGATTGGTGGTTGAAGCAAATGTGTAATACTATCCGATATGGTTCTAAATGTATTTAGAAGAAATATTTATGAGAATTGTATTATAAACAGGATGGTCAAAGGGATGTAAAGGAAGGTTAGGTTTCTCAATTCACTTAAACTGATAAAATGACCACATTGATAGACTGATAAATTATGTACATATATTGCAATGTCTACAGCAGTCACTAAAGAACTGATACAAAGAGATCTATTAAAAACACTACAGATAAATCAAAATGGAATAATAATGTTCAAGTAATTTAAAATAAAATGGCAGATTAAGCTCTAACATATCTATAATTATATTAAGTGCAAATATTCCAAATATACAACTAAAGGACAGAGATTAGCAAAGTGGATTGAAAAACATGACCCAACTATATATTGCTTACAAGGAACTCGCAGCACATGTAATTAGATATGTAGTTTGAAAGTAATATTTGAAAACAGACATTATCATGCAAATATCAATTTTAAAATGGTCATTCAATTATTATACTCTGTAATTGTGACAATAACATTTTTTCCAGAATTTAAAAATATAGTACATATAAAAATCCCCATAGATTAAGCTCACTTCTGAGTATAGATGCAAAAAGTCCATGTAAAAATTCCAAATGGAGACAATATTTACAAGATAAATGTTAAGAGAGTGTTACAGATTAACCAAGAGAAAATTAGGTAAATCTATAATTGTTGAATTCACATAATCAGAAATCAAATGTCAAAGAAGAGAAAAAAGTTCAAAGTTGTAAGAAATCAAACAATTTTTAAAAGATTAATTTTTCTTTAAAATTTTAAAATCGGATATTTATTTTGTGTGAAAGTGAAAGAATATAAACATTTTAACAGTGTAGTTCCAAATGATAAGTGGATTGCACAGAATATATTCAAGAGACTTTGAACTAGCAATTCTATGTATTCCATTTTAGATTACGTGAAGATTTTATCAGAATGCGCCTCTTAACTTTATTCATAATAGCATTGAAAGAAATAAACAAGCAAGGATAATATAAATACATAAAAATAGA